ACTCACTCTCTGTGCCCCGACCACGGGCATCTTCTCTGTGCAACCGACACACAAGTTTCTTCCCCCTCGGGACTAGCAGATGCTACTCCCTTTTTCCGGAACACTAACGATTCAATAAATGGCATGAAATGCAAAGGTAATAAAAACTAAACATGTATCACTTCCTAATTATTTTGCTGTATTTGACGGTGATCTCTGCTCTTGAAGTTATTTACTTCTCACGTATCCATGTGGTGAATCAGTATATGATGGCGTGCTCCTCTGCGTCTCTTCCTACTCCGTGTTTGGTGACGGCATGTTGGTAGCTTGGAACACTGTTGTAGGAGTACATACACCGTGGAAATTGGCAAACACTATATTTGACTTGATATAATTAATGCAGTTACCAAATAGTCAAATATATGACTAACGTTAAATCCTTGTACTTAACGTAAGTAACTCTACAGGGTAGGTACAGTCATCTCATTTTATAAGCAAGAAAGTTGGTGCAGAAATGTTAAAATCATTCGGCCAACACGCAGCAGAGCTTGGACTTGAAAATCTGTTGGACGCCAAAGCTCATGCTCTCTGCACTAAACAACATGTCCACGATTTTAGGGAGCATTTCTTTCTGTTTGCGTGCAACTAGGGGAAACCAGGAAGCTCCCAAGGAAGGCGGGTATTCCGCAAAAGAGAAAATTGCTGAGGTGAGGAGAGGAGAGAGAGACGGGGTGTTGTGGCCTTGCTATGACATTAAAGCAAAACGATCTATCTCTGACGTCACCAGTAATTAATTACCACATTGCCACATTCGCTTGCAATGTTTGAATGAAAATTTTTATACAGTGAGCAATAAATAGAAAGTCTGGAAATAGAAAGTCTAAGAAAGCCTTTCTGGTTGTTGTGATTGTTGTTTTTGCTTCTGGGAACTCCCCTGAAGGCAATAGTTTCACTTGCTAGTCTGTTCCCGAGTGAGTGTGAATGAAGAGAGAATCTCCGGCCTGGAGAGGCACTGGGCCCAGGTGCATTAGCCAAGGACAAAATCTGAGAGTGGACTCAGCTACCTGTTAATATCATTCTAATTCATTCAACTCACCTGTAACATCTCCTGTAATGGCTTCGCTGCTTATCACTCTGATGGCTACATGACAGAATCGTGGTGTTCTGAATTTACCAGGCATGGGGGAATTCTAGCTGTAAGATGGATGGCAGAGAGACATTTGATGGTTCTCAGATTTTGGGGTGCCTAAGAAATACCCAAGGAATTTGCTCAAATGTCAATTTCCTGACCCACTTCCAGAACTTCTGATTTTGTTCATGTGGTTCAGGGCTCAGGCACCTGCATTTTTAGCACATCTCTCAGAGCATCCTAGAGTTTGGGTGACCTCAAAATTAACTAATAACTCATCTTCCTTTTTGCTTGTTCTGTCTAAACAACGAATATAACTACCTGCAACCCATAGCAACTCCTGTGCTTTTAACTGTCTGAGGACAATGTGTGTGGGCCTCACCCAATCCGCCGAAGGCTGAAATAGAAAAAAAGTTTCAGTGAGGGAGAATTCGCTCTTGCCACCTAACTATCTTTAAGCGAGGACATCAGTCTTCTGCCTTTGGACTCGAACTGGAACTTATACCTTTGGCTCTCCTGCTTCTAAGGCCTTTGGACTCAGATTGAAAGTGAAAAAGAATTTTCACTCAGAAGACTAACCTTATAATCAGTTCTTTGTTCTGCTTCTGTAGATATGCTTGCTGCATAGGCCGTGAGGCAGGGTGACCTCAAAATTAACTAATAACTCATCTTCCTTTTTGCTTGTTCTGTCTAAACAACGAATATAACTACCTGCAACCCATAGCAACTCCTGTGCTTTTAACTGTCTGAGGACAAATTAACCAATCAGCCCACGCCATACTAAGCTCTATAAAAGCAAAGTTGCGTTTGAGCTTGGGGCCCAGATCTTCAGAGCGCTAGCTCCTCTGGGACCACTGGCATAATAAACCTGAGTTCTCCAACTCTCCGAGTGATGCTTGGTTTCTTGCCAGTCTGATTTTTGCAACATCTCTGCAACAGAAGTACACCCTCGGCCCACCTGGATCTCCAGCTTGCCAATGCAGATATTAGGGCTTCTCAGCCACCATCATTGTACGAGCCAATTTCTTATGCTCGCTCTCTCTCTCTCTCTCAATCTCTCTCTCTCTCTCTCTCTCTCTCTCTCTCTCTCTTTCTCTATTTCTCTGGACAACCTTGATTAATACAGATTTTGGTACTGAGAGTGGTACTAAAAGAATGGAATATTAGGGATAAGTTTTCTGAATCGGTTCTGGGGTTTCTGGAATTGGTTCTCTAATCTGACTGGATTTAAAGATGCTGACAACTCTATTGCCAGCAGTAATGAGAGTGCCGATAGTCCATGATGGGATTGGGCAGTAGAACTCCATAAAATATCTGCAATGGGTACGCCCAATCAATCACTTACAAGAAGCACGGATCTGAGTGACTGTGTATTTGATACTTTTGAATATTTTTAGAAAACTAATAGAATGAGATTGGCTGGTTGCTTCTAATGTTGCCCAACAAAGTGATGAAAGAAAGGGTTGAGCTCAGGGATTGAAATTCCCAGCTCAAGCGCCACGTAAATGACCTTGTCTCCTGCAGCCTCAGAGGTGAGATTGCAAAAAATCAAATATAGACTCTTATCCCGTGACTGGCCGAACCATAACACAAGTTGAACTGTCAGCTTCATAGGGTGTCTGCTGTTAAAGTGACAGCATTGGTTGGGAAAGAATGGGTTCTTGCAACTTGGAATAGGGACCTGTGGGAAGACCCGGAGAAAGCTGGGGACATTGAGCCCCTAAATTCTGATGCATCTTCTTTGCCTGTGGAAGTGGCCTCCCCCAGTAGAACCAGCCTCCCCATCTCCAGTGGTAGCAACTCTTCCACCTCCTACACGCCCCCCCCCCCAGGGGATTAACCATACTGTCTGAAGGGACTGTAATAGCCTCTAATAAGGCTGTTTGCCTTGCAAGACGATGCTAATTCTCCTCTGGAGCCACCACTCACCACCCCTCTTTGCTTCTAGACCTGTAACTAGACTCAAACTCCAGCAGGCCCCTGAGGATGAGGTACAAAGTATAACCTATGCGGAGATATACTATACTCCAAAAGAACTAATTAAGTTTATAATTAGTCTGAGCAGAAATCCAGGGGACATGTGTGAGAATGACTATTAAGACTGTGGGATCCTGGTGGGAGGAACAAAAAGTTGGATCAGGCCCAAAAGATCGCTGTCCAGCATGTTATAGGCCCAAGGAGGGGAAGGATCCGGCTGTAACATCTGTGAGTCTGAGATTCTGGGATTCAGAGCCCATGCCCTTCTTTTCTCTCTCAAGGGCTCCTAAGCATCCCTCCTCCAGCTGGAAGGGGTTTGAAAAGGACAGACAGGGGAAGTTTGTTCTTTATTCAACAGCGTGTGAGGACGAGGCGCTCAATAAATTTTTTTTTTCTTTTTCTCTATATAATTGTTTAAAAATATTCACCTTTCTTTTCTTCTCTAGCTGTTGCTTCTTTAGCTATTTGTTCTCCTCTAATCCCTGTAAGCACACACACACACACCCATACCCATAGATCAAGGTCAAGATCAGAAGCCTTTAAAGTTCATTGTGACGGTGTTCCACGCTAGGTTAATTCCCTTCTCTCAAGGTGTCATATTTAAATTTATGCCTTTTACTTGGTCCAAGCTTAAAGCAGCCCTCTTCACCCGCTTGTCCTTTATGTTTTAAGGCCCTTTCCCAAGCTGTGACACAAAAATGCAACCTTCCTTTTCCAAACGCGTCTGGTCTTCAATCTTTCCTATTAGTTTTCCCAGCTTATCTCAGAGACCTGATGGCTTTTCCTGGCCCTACACTTCCGGACACAGAATTTCTTCAATTATGTGCATGATTCAATACATGACTTGCCATTCTTAAAATATCTTACCGTTTGTTTCTCTTCAGCGCATGTTCATTCGGCCAAAGCCTATTGAAATCTGACAATAATAGCACTGTGCGGGCTGTTGTGGATACGGAATGAAGAAAACACGGTTTCAGCCTAGGAGGGGCACATAGTCTAGAAAGCTAAGGCCGCATGTAAACATGAACATTACAATGCCGCGTGGGAAGTATCACCTACTACGATAGGAAGCAAAACGAACTTCCTCTGGGGGCCTTGATAAAAGGTCTCATAGGAAGTGACATTTCTATTAGTCTTGAAACCTAAGTAGGAGTTTGCCAATCGGAGGACAGGGGCGAGAGTGAGGGGAAGGGTGGAATCGGGCATCTGAGTAAGGAGGACCGAGTGTGCGGAGCCTTTGAAATAATCGAGGAAGATTCTGTCATGCTCGGGAGGTCTGCTGGGTTCAGTGTTTGGACGCGAGGGGGTTTGAGTGGCAGGGATCACATCGAGAGGGCCAGTGTAGAGAGGCTTGAATTTTAGAGGCGAGAAGAGAGAGAAAAAAACCGTTTAAGCCGGAGAGTTTCAAAATCAGGTTTGTCTCTTCCACAGCTATTGTCATTGACCTAATTATGGGGACTCCCGGATTTGGAGTCTGAAAGGGGTGCGCTCTGCTGGCTTAATCAGAGATGCTCGGAGGATCTGCTCAATTGGGACACTTCCTTTTATTTTACTTTATTTTTTTAGGTCTAGAAACAGCACGTTTTCAGTATACCCAGGGCAGCTCAGGCCTATCCCAGTGCCCACTGGTGCTAATCCGCTTACTCTGAGTAATACTCCAACACTGCCCTCCACATACTGTCTCTTCTCTACTGGGGTTGGGCATAAACTGAGAGCCTTTGTCTCCTTGAACCCCATTCTTCTGTTTTGTCACTTTTTTAAATCCTGCTTGACCCAGTCTTTTAACCTATTGCTGATCTTTTGGCCCAGTCCACCCCGTGTTTTAATCACTTGGACGGTCTGCGCCGGAAGCCACACCCACTCACAACCTGGCTGAGTCAGCAAGTTTGTCCGCAGCGGCGCGCCGTACCGACGCGGTGCGCGCAAGCGCAGTTCCCGCTCCCGGCTCCCGGCTCCCGGCTCCTAGCTCCCGGCGGCGTGTTCTTCTTTCCTTCGCTTCCCAGCTTCCCGGCAGGTGGACGCGCGCGCTTCACGGTTGGCCTCCCGCCGCGCCTTGTCCTGTGCTGCGGACGCTCGCCCTGCAGGCCGCCGGCTCCCGAAGCCGCTGCTCTGGGCCGCGCGCCTCCATTGGCGACAGACCCATGGCCGAGCGCGGGGATCTTGACCTGACCGGCGCCAAACAGAACACCGGAGTGTGGCTGGTCAAGGTAATGTTCGCGGCTCCCGCTTGCGCTCTTTTTACTAAAAGTAGCTTAAGTGACTTGTGCCCGTCCCACTCCGTGCGCCTTTTAAAGCTCTTTACGGTCGTCTCCTGGGAGGTTCACACATCCTGAGCGGCAGGACTCGTTGTTAGGCTCTTTTGCAGACGAGGAAATTAGTTTAGGGAACCACGGTGTCTCTTTCAGCCAATTAAGAGTCCGAACTTGCCTGGAACGGATGTCTCTTCCCCACGACCTGGTTTTTCTGGGGCCCCGTCTTGGTGTCCCCGATTCGAGCGGTGCCTTTTATCCCGGACTGAAGCTGTTTCTGCATCTTCTGTTGGTGAAACTGATTTTAGTCGTGAGCCTGTAAAGGAAGTTCAGAGTGTCTGCTTTCTGTGCAGTTTTCTCGGCCAGAAAGTAGAACTGATCTCTGCGTACCATTCAGGTGTTCTTTTAGGTCGATGGCCCTTGGTGGAGTTCTCAAGAGAGCCGAGAGAGCTCACGGAAAGAGAGGCCATTGGACTGGAGTGTTCATGTAGAGCAGGACTGGGTCTCCTGAAACCGTCAAAAAAATGGTTTTCAGTGAAGACAGCAATCTTGATTAGCCCTTAGCACAGTATTTGTGCTTTACTTTTTCATATCGGGGAGTGTTTCCTCTTATGAGAGTTTCAGAAGTTATACGTATGTTCAGAATGTGATTATGAATCAGTGAACCTGAAGTTAAATGTAGGGACCTTTGGTTTGTTAAATTTTTAAAACCTTTATCACATGGCTTAGTTCTCTCTCATCCATTAAATCTGAGAGGCCCTTTCTGTCCACTTCTCTAAAATAGCTCCCTGATGATCATTGGCTGGCATGTCAAACCCGTGTTGTAGTCTTCAAAGCACTTTCCACAGTCTAAAGTGATTCTGTGTTCATTCTGTGTTCATTCTGTGTTCGTGTGTTCAGTGTTGGTCACCTCCCTCTCCCCAGTGCTTGCTCACGCACGCAGTCACATTCCATGAGAACAGGATCCTTGCCCGTCACGCCCAGAATCGTGTTTGGGTGCATGGTAATTGCTCAACAGATATGCAATGAGTGAATGAATGCTCTCTTACTTTTCAAGCCTAGCCTAGTCTCTGGCACTCATGTGATTTATCACAGCTATATCAGTATGACTTAAAAAGATGGAGTAAATGAGTGTTTCTCCCACTGCCTGCTAAATGGAGGAGAATCATTAAGGAAGAGATCTCCCTTGCAGACTGAAAAAGCTTGGAAAAGTGGTGGAACTTGAGATAATGCATTTGTGGCTGGAGCACAGTAAATGCTCAATAAATGTTGTTTACCTTACAGGATTTGGATGGGTCAGCAGAGGCATAGCATAGTATACCATGGAGAATGGAATAGGAATGCAAGACTGAAAGCATAGTATGTCATGAAGAGAGGAATAGGTGTGTCCTGGAAAACAAAGAGGGGGTTATTACGCCTCTAGCAGAGGGTCTATGCAGAAAAAGGTTGGGACCATAAGTTCCTCTTGCTGTATTGTGAAATAGGCATGTCTGTAGTCTCTAGGGAATGAGGTGCCTTTTGGTAAGTTTTGAGTAAGGCGTGGATGCAGATGATTCTTTCAGGAAAAAAAATGAGGGGAAGATAACAAGAGTCAAAATTAGAAAATTATCATAGGATCATAGGTATGTGATAATGAAGTCTGAGGAGTTGGGGAAACTATTTCAGTAAGTTGTCAGGATTTGGTGATGGGTTAAATGAGAATGTGAAAGAGT